TTAGAGAATTCATTACTTCTCTAATAATTTTAATGCAGGCATATAAATATTTAAAGTTACATGGGTAATCTTATTTCTCATTCTCACTTAGATTTGTTTTTATCTGTCAAAGCAAATCTCCTGAATAAATACTTACATGGCACATGCACTCACTTGGAATTCACCATCTGTAATAGTTATTGTTTGTGGTGCACTGACCTTAACTTCAAATTTGGGAAGCACTGTAACCAAAGAGAAATATACTTCAACTCCCATGATCACTGGCGAGCATACTTATTGCAATCATGTAGCTAAATACACTTTCATACACAATATTTCTATATATACATCTGCACAGACCATGTTTCAATCAGCCTAAATTCTGTACAGTGCCACTGTACCACAGCATGTGACGGTGTCTCATCAATGATCAATTCTTCCCTTTTCCTTCCTCTTTTCTATATTTAGAATTTCACATTTTAATTATTGTTGTTGTAATTGCTCAGATACTTCCTAGAAGATTGCCTGGATTCTAGAAAATGGATGTTTCCTTGGGCAAAATGGCGGGGATCTGAATAAGAATACTGAGAAAGAAGTGAGGAGCGAGAGAAAATTGACCATAAAACAGATGAGGCCAAGAAGGGAAGGAAGGTGGCAGAAAACCAAATCTAGCTTCATTTCTTTTTGCCTAAGTCTAATCTAAAAAGTGTTTTATGTAGTCCTTTGCACTTTTCATTCATTTAGAACAACCACAAGTAGTAATTGGTCACCATATCTCTTAACAGTGAATTGGTGTGTCACTGTTTTTCCTGATTTTCCTTTCACAACAATAGAATAATCTCCAAATATTGGTTCTGAAATTAATTGGAATGAGAGTTGAGTAATATTTTGGAAAGAAGTCACATTTTGCCACTGGAAAATCCTATTGTTTTCAGGATCCTGGAAAATAATGAAGAAATAAAAACAATCAGAGATTGATGAAAATATTACTCTTTCCTTCTATATTTTGCATACTTTCTGTAGTTATTGAAGGTAAAGAAAGTGCTGTCATTTTATTGAACTAATTATCTCAAATTCTGAAGATTATATAATTTTCTCAATGCATTCAAATTCACAGTGTATCTCTGGTAAGGCAGGCCATAAAGGATTAAAAAAATCTGTAACTAATGCTTTTGATTTTGATATTTTTGAACGAGAGTTACATAGTTAAAGAATCAAAAACTCAATGTGCTTGCTCTAGAATAAGTGTTCTCCAAAGCAGAGTGGACTTACACCACATAGGTACATAAGGGGATACTTATTCTAACAAATATTTATAAAAATTGCCGTGAGTTTTTACTGATCAATATCTAAGTTGGTCATGACTTACACACTGCATGCAAGAGCTGCTAAATGGAAGTTCTATGACAATATAGGGTTGATAATCCCGGCCTTTCTCCTTTATTTGTTTTCAAAATACTGTAGCTTCCATGAGATTGGGTCAGTAAATTCACTGATATCCTTCAACTGTGATTAAAGAAACCCTGACAAAAAGATCTTTACAAAGAGACAGAAACATTCTTTATTTACCTTCTCTGTCATATATAAATATATATCATATATGTATATGAATACATATATGTGCACATATAAATCCACATATATATGTGTATATATATATATGTATTGATATACATATATATGCACACAGGATTTCAAAATATATCAAAGGCCATACTTCTTAGAGACTGAGACTGATAGCAAGAGACTTCACTAACTATTTTCTGAAAGCAAACAGTGCATTTTATAATAATAATCATGTTCTAGCACATTTCTAAATTTTTAGATGTTTATGTTTTCTATTTCCTTAAAACAAGATGTGGCTAAATTAAGACTGAGACAGGCTGGCAGACAAATGAAGTAATTTCAGAATATATGCCTCCCTTAGAAAGAGCCCAACTTTTTATTTTCCATAAAAAGCCTGCTCCAGAAGCAATGAATTTTTATTTAAATCTTCATCTGACGCCCTACACTGTGTATGCACATAAATACTTCTTTTCCTCCTTTTTCAGTCATCTTAATTTCTAGTTATGTATAATTAAAACTAGACACACAGCATTCTTTATCTGAATATTTAAAGAAGTAGGTAAGAAAAGCAGATCTCTTACCTGAACTGTGATTAAAGGATACTGAAAGAGGAAAAAAACATAGATTAATACTGTAATAGTACAATATTCTTGCCAAATGTTGGATTACACATCTTTATTTAATATTGAAATTCAGCCCCCGTTTCTCTAGAGGGCAAAGTTTCTATTGCTAAAGATGCCAGGAAAACCCCAAAGGTGAAAGAAATCTCAAATGCTTTTGGTAAGTGGGAAGTAGGTTCTGTACAATGCATGTTTTCTTTATGTATTGAAAAGACTTTAAAAAGTGTAAATCAACTCACTATAAATGAAAGTTTTACACTGAATTTTGCAGTTAGCATTGAAACTATATCTACATAGCACTCCATGTCAGAACCTTATTTCTCTACACATGAAAAGCTTC